CACTCGGTGATATAGATGTCATCTACGCTTCACGTCATATTCCCAACAAAGTCACAGAAGCGAGGGCATTTCAAACCGCCTTCATGGTGCATCAGTGGCCAAGCAGACTTCCAGTGCAACGGGACCTCCTTAGTTTGTTGACTGAGTGGCAAAATGTCCAGGGCATTGGCGAGGCGTTCAGTTTGCAGTACTCTAAAGACTGGCTTCAACCGACTTTTTCAGATGTCTTCCTTTCTGCGTACGACTACTGTCGCAAGGCTACAAAGAAGGACATATCTCGGCTGGTTTTCACCCTGGCTTCAGTAGCATACAGCTTGTTGGATGATGATGCGCTCGTGCCAACACTCCTAGCTTTTGCTACGGTTCCCGAAATTCGCAGCCTGGGAGGCCCTCCGAAGTTCACTTCTTATGATCTCTCGGATGGTTTCATGCCATCCGATACGAGATTGAACAATATCATCCATTCCTGTGTCGGAGATTATGAAGTCAGCGAGGAGAAAGAGCTAGCTGCAAGTCTTGATGAAGATGATGAGACTCTGGAGAAGCGTCGTCGTGCAGCTTTTAAGGAGAGGTGTCGCTCTGAAAAACAGGTTATTCTCAGTAAAGTTCAGGATGCCTGGCCATGCGAAAACCCTCCGGCACTTCGTACGCTGCAAGTGAAGTGTTATAATCTCACTGATTTGCCGGGGAAATTGTCCCCAGTATTTCGCAGCTGTTGGCAAAACCATTGTCTAAAGTTACACCTGGATGGCCTGCAGGGAGCTCTCAAACAGCTCTACACGCCCAACCCTCCTTTACATATACCCTCTCAATATTGTCTTGATTTCTGCCTCGAGAGCTTGGATGTTGCATCACCGGCCTCATCCGTTGATGCCCAGTACCTGTTCGATAGAGATCCGCCTGTGACAAGCATGTGCGGGTCTTCCCAAGTTCTGTCTAATGTCAATCGGAGAGATTTGGTATCCCCAGACTCCCAAGTCGCAGCAGGGTTGCGACAGCTGATCAACAACTTTCGCGCACAAGGCACTGACAAGTTTCACCGCAAATACGCCGACGATCTGGACCAGAGCAGGTCGATTTACTGTGACGAAAAGATCGTTTCCTCACCAGATTCTACGCCATACACGATGGAACTACTGCTCAAGAACCATTCTCTCCATAGCCGGCAATTTGAAGACTCACTCGCATCTATCTCACACGCCCTCTCCCCCGCCTCTGCTACTGAGAACGCGTTATACAATGGTGGATTATGGCCTCGAGTTACACCAAATTTCCTTTTCACACGCATGGCTTCTACAGCAGGAAGTCATCTGGGGAAGGCTTGGCGTGCTACTCTTGTCCAGCTGTCGCAGATACTTTTGCAACTGCAACGCTCGCGAAGGCTGTTGGTCTTTGCTGCTCACAAAAACTGGGTCGAGTTCTTCAAGCAGTTGGACAGCGAAGAATGCGAGGGATTTGATCCGGAGCTGTATCCTGATTGGTTCTTAATACAGGTACACTATAAAGAAATCGATCATGAACCGGTAACTGATAGTGTCATCCTCAGATTGAAAGTCAGTTCTTAGCACGGCCGGTCCAGGTCAAGGTCGCGCTGGAGATGATGTCACCATGCACAGGAGGAAATACCTCTCTCCAATTGAACATGGGTGAAGGCAAATCCTACGTTATCGTTCCCCTCGCAGCAGCCGCACTTTCTGATGGCCACAAATTAGTCCGAGTAATCGTACTGAAGTCGTTATCAGCTCAGATGTTTCAGCTTCTGGTCGAACGACTAAGCGGCCTCGCGCAAAGGCGCATTTTCTATATCCCATTCTTTCGCGCGTTCTCTATCGACTCATCAAAGGTGCAGATGTATCGTGGCTTGATGCAAGAATGCATGGATGCCAAGGGCATCCTAGTCGTCCAACCAGACCATATTCTGTCGTTCCAGCTTATGGCCGTCGACCGTCAGCTTTCCCCTCAGATTGAAGCTGCTGAAGATATGCTGCAGACTCAGCTATGGCTCGACAATCACACACGCGACATTCTAGATGAAAGCGATGAAATTCTGCACGTCCGCTACCAGATGGTATACACTGTGGGTCTCCAAAGGTCGCTTCAAGGTCATCCCGAAAGGTGGACGACAACACAACAAGTGTTGAGTCTTGTCGCGAAGCACGCCGCTCGGCTCATGAGCGAGTTTCCCTCCCATTCAGAAGTGTCCATTCGTGAGCACGGAGTGTTCCCCTTCATTCGTATTCTGCACCCGACAGCAGGTAACGCATTAGTCCAATGGATTGCAGGGGATATCATCAATGGCGCCCTTGAAAACATCGGCTTCGATCAAGCATCCCCCCATATGAAAGAAGCCGTTTGCTGTTTTATCGCAAATGATAACGTATCCAACACTTGTGTCAGCGTAGTGGAGGATCGCTATAGAGACACTATCGTTTGGCCCGGCCTTCTAGTCTTGCGAGGATTGCTGGCGTATGGTATCTTGGTGCACACCATTAAAGAACGCCGTTGGCGTGTGGACTATGGCCTTGCCCCAAAAAGAACAATGCTAGCTGTTCCATTTCGCGCAAAAGACATGCCTTCGTTGCGGGCAGAGTTTGGCCATCCGGACATTGCTGTCACCCTCACATGCCTATCATACTACTATGCAGGTCTAACGCCCCAGCAGCTGATGCTGTGTTTCGAGCTCCTGCTGAAGCAGGATGATCCTACCCTCGAGTATGAATCCTGGGTTGCTAGACTTCCGTCCGTCCCAGAAAGTCTGCGTCACCTTAGCGGAATCAATACGGAATCTGCAGAGCAGCTCCCTGAACTTCAACGACTGTTCGAATTCCACAAGGCGGTCATAGATTTCTACCTGTCCCGAGTAGTTTTTCCCAAGGAAGCGAAGGCATTCCCCAGCAAGCTCACCTGCTCCGGGTGGGATCTCGCTCAAGAGAAGAGACACCTCACCACCGGCTTTTCTGGTACCAACGACAACCGGTATCTTTTGCCAAGCTCAATAGTGCAGCATGACCTCGATTACCAACGCAGCACGAATGCCCGAGTACTGGCGTTCCTTTTGCGCCCAGAAAACAACTGCTACAGACCCATACCGCCTGGCCAGAAGGTACAACATTTCATCGAGACCTTGATAGCACAAACCCCCGAGGTCCGCGTGCTCCTGGATGTTGGTGCGCAGATGTTGGAATTGAAGAATCAGGAATTAGCCGAAGTATGGCTTCGAGCCAAGCACAATGCACAAGCTGCGGTCTTCGTGAATGACGACGACGAAATTGTTGTTGTTACTCGGGACGGGACAGTGGAGTCCCTTGTGTCGTCCCCCTTTGCCCAACAGCTCGACCAGTGTGTGATATATCTTGATGACGCGCACACCAGAGGAACGGATGTCAAGCTGCTTTCTGGCTTCCGAGCTGCTGTCACGCTTGGTCCGAAAGTCACGAAAGACCGCCTGATGCAAGGTTTGTGATTCCAGAGTTCATGCTACCGAGTTTGACAATAGCCAACGACACAGGATGCATGCGAATGCGGAAGTTGGGCAATGGCCACTCGGTGATGTTCTTCGCTCCGACAGAGGTTGACCGAAGCATTCGTTCGGCGACTAAGAAGGCTGATGCAGATCGTGTCGAAGTTGCGGATATTTTGCACTGGTCGATGCTCGAAACCTGTCTTGATATTCAGATGCGTGCATTCCACTGGGTTCAACAGGGATCAGATTTCAGCGCCCGGCATTCTGCATGGGCTCAATTCTCGCGCGCGCCTACCACTTCGATTTCCATCCTGAAAACAGCCTGGTTGCAGCCAGAGGAGCGTTCATTAGAGGATATGTACGCACCACGCAGTCCTTCGCAGGTATCCCATATTTGGGATGCAGACATTCAAAGCAAGTGCGAGGAGCTCGGAGTTCTAACAGGACCTGAAAGGAGCATGGATGAAGAACAAGAAAGGGAGGTAGTCCACGAGGTAGAGAGAGAACGTGAGGTGCAAAGGCCATCCAAAGTGCAACCCGCAGCTCAGGACTTGCATGCGCACGTCCGTCAATTTGTCAAGACTGGCCGAGTTCCAAAAGGGTCCCCCGTTTTCATTCCAGCGCTATCCAGCCTCATCAACACCACTGCCAAATTTCATGAAGATCATCACTGGGCACGCAACATTTTAGTAACCCGTGACTTTGCTCGTACGGTGGGGACTATCTTTACCACACAGAAAGTGGATGAATACCTGCGGCCCGTCAATTGGATCGTGCTTAGTGACGTTGGAGTGCTGGCAGTCATGAGTCCGCACGAAGTGGACACACTGCTGCCTGATATCCGCAACAGCAACGCAGTTCAATTATGTCTCTATACTCCTCGGACCACACGCACGATGAAGGCATGCGATGATCTCCGACTGTACCGTGTTCCCTCGACCCCACATCTGACGCCATCGGAACTGCAGATTTGCCAGCTCAACCTTTTTGCAGGTCAACTGTATTTCTCCAGTTATGAGATGTATCTCCGCACTTGCAATTTCTTAGGGCTCAACGCATTGGATTTGGGGGACGAGGACTTGATAGCCGACAGTGATGGATTCATCAGGGAGGAGAATCGCTCTTCTGCGAGAACATCGTGTTTGTTCAAGCGATCCCAGCTTCCTCCGCTGAAGGAGTTGTTCGGAATGAGAAGGAAAGGCATGGGGTATCTGCCAACTCACCTCGGAAAGATGTTCAATGGGCGCATTCTGACCGAGGGGGATTTTCTGGAATGAGCGCCCGCCGCCAGGTCTGTTTAGCGTAAGTTTTTGCCTTTCTGCCGAGGACCCTACTGACTGCAGTTCCGGTTAACAGCGATTGTGTCAACACGTCTTCACCATGATGTAATTTTGTGTTTTGTGAATGTATTTGTATGTAGTTGAAACGTTATACGTCTTGCTCCGAACTCTCGCGGCTCCTTGATCTGGGGTGAACCAGCTACAGCCTGGACAGGTTTTTGTACCTTCTTTTCGCCAGGTTTACGCGTCTTTCCACCTGCCCTTAGCTCATCAAAGCGAAGGGGACGTGGACACGAGTGGGTACGCTCACAAAGACCGCATTTATTACAGACGATCTTTCTAGGATTGCCAAGAGTGGAGTGGCGCCATGAAGGCAGCTCTGTGGTATAGCAATTAGAAAAATACCTTCTGAGGTACTGAGTCTCTTTGCTAGCAGCAGCATCTGTGTGTTGAATCGGAACTGAAGCACCAGCTCCAGAGGGGAGGAAACCAAGGAAATTTTGTGCGATCATTATCAGCGCGTCCCAAGCGCGACGGCGCGTCCCAGATTTTACATAATTCGTCACGGCAACCCAGCACCCTTCTTTCGTTTCCATCATTTCGCGATATCCGCCATCCACACTTTTCCCTTGTCGCATCCATGTTTTAAGTTTTCGTCCACCGCTATTCATATTCTTAAATCCACGCGCTCTTAGCACCAATTGCGCACTTTGGCTGCTGCGCCGCACCTCAGAGCTCTGCCCACTTTGTCGTGTAACTCCCTTTGGTGTGCCGGGGGGCGAAAAGCATAACAAGGCAGAGCTAGCGCACTGCGCTCACGTACCCCCAGAGCTCCACCCACCTTGCCGTGTAACTCCCTTTGGTGTGCCGGGGGGCGAAAAGCATAACAAGGCAGAGCTAGCGCACTGCGCTCACGTACCCCCAGAGCTCCACCCACCTTGCCGTGTAACTCCCTTTGGTGTGCCGGGGGGCGAAAAGCATAACAGGGTGGAGTTAGCGGACTGCACTTGCGCTTGCCAGGAGGTTGGGCCGCGCTGAGGCCATCTGAATAGAGCGCCAAGCACAATATTGTGCATTTTTGTTTTTGTGATTCGCAATCTTTCCCATCAGCTCTGTTCTCATCCTGTAATGACACCGCTTCCCCGTGCTCTGCGCAAACCTGTCTTCGTCAAGGTGAGGCGTGAGCAGCCTGCAGCCTGTACGCTACATTAATTCATGACCGTCCCTTTTAGGTTCTGGATAATGCGTATGAGCTCGGTTGTGGATACCTTCTTTGAAAATATGCTCAGTGATGCGTATGTAATACCGACAACTCGCTTGAATCAACTACTGACCGTATATTGTACAGCGCCTCCGACATGTACAAGATGTGGCAGAAAGTCGGCAAGGAGAGAAATTCTGACGAGTGGGAGATGACACCAGCAACTGTAAATGCATACTATAACCCCCCTGCCAATGAAGTGGATTCGTACTGTCAAGGCGCTAGACTGACAAAGAACAAGAACGTCTTCCCAGCTGGCATCTTACAACCTCCTTTCTTCTCCGAGAGCTGGTATGCGTATATGTCACTATTTCGCAGCCCCATCTCATACACACTTCTATATAGAGGCTTGGATACCTCTCCTACGGCTCCTTTGGAATGGTAGCCGCGCATGAATTAACTGTAAGTTCGTTGCATTGCATTTTCCATAAACATTGGTCTAAGTATTATTAGCACGCATTTGATTCCTCAGGTCGTCTTTCCAACCAACAAGGAAAACTCGAAGAGTGGTGGTCACGGCAGACTAGCGACGCGTACCAAATTCGCCAGGACTGCATCGTGGAGCAATACTCGTCATATACAGTAGAGGATGGCAAAGGAGGGATCATCCATGTCAATGTATGTCACATTATGCTCCCTGCGTATAATGGTTGACCAGTTGATCCACAGGGAAACCTGTATGTCTATGGTCGTGATGTTTAAGCTTGTTAACGTTACTAATTGATTACTTCCAAGTACCTCTGGCGAAAACATCGGAGACACGGGTCTGATTCAGGCGTATCGGGCTTGGAAGGCGCAATACGAAGATTCCTACGACGCCGGAACGGAATATCTGCTTTCCGGCCTTGGCTACACTCGGTTTGCGATACTAGATTTATGAGTGAACTATTCAGGCACTAATGCTAAGTTCAGGGAGCAGCTATCCTTCATCTCGTTTGCCCGTACATGGGCGATGAACACCAGTCCTGCTGACGCAGTATCTGGGACACTGCCGATGTCTATGGAGACAGCGAAGAGATCATTGGCAAATGGTACGTCATACTGTACTGTGGCAGTAAGTCGAACTCATCGTATCAGTACGTCGTACTAGCCTCCAGCAGCTTGTGCGATGACCAATTGTCCCCTCTTAGATCATCGCGCTCGCGAAGTGTCAGCTGACAATCGTTCAGTCGTCCTGTGTCCCACAGCTTTGCTCTATTTTTAGCTCCCCTTTACCTAACACGTGTTATTTTTCTATTGTGGTGGGCTCTATCCTGAGCAATCTCTGTCAGTGTTTAGGCTTACTGTGACGAAATCAATTAATGTGTACTGTAGTGCTGGTACTGGGCATGTGTTTCTTTGCCGGTGGTCTCCGCTTCTCGGAACAGGGGTTTGGTCAAAGTACGCAGTTGCCTGTCCCAAGTTGGTCCAGACTGTTGATGCTTGCGCCTATGGCTTAGGTGCTGTGCAACTTAATTTATCATTGCTGACCATTAGCGTGATTGCTGTTCTGTTACCTGGGGCTTTTCACATGGCTCTTCAGGGTCAACCAGAATATGACGAATTGTCAACCGATTCAAACATATTGAAAACTAGTCATGGCGTGCGTAGATTATTGTTCGTAGTATGTTTGGCCTTACGTTCTTCGTATAGGTTGCAATCATTCTCCTTCTCAGTAGGTCAACAAAATGATTTTCTTAGCAGTTGACTAAACCCATTCCAACCATCCAGTCTACGCCTCATATCTGGTTTTCCAGTTATTTTCGCACAAAGCCCTCTACGCTGATGATAACGAAAATATGCAACCAACCAAGGCGTACGCAGGCCAGAAACCATTTCGGTTGCACAGGAGACGTAGGATCATCACGGACGGCGAAAATGTGTCTTCCCCAAGTTCGACACATGACAGAGAGGCAGCCGCAACGTTTGCAGACGCCAACCCTGACGTGGAACCTGGGACTTATTCCATAGCATCAGTGGAGATTGAGATTCAACCACTGATGAACATCGCTGTGTGCATTTGGCTTTTGGCTGTCGTAGCTGTGGTACGTGCTTAATGTGATAGTCACACGAAGTTCTCAATTTTTCGCTTCAGTTGACTACTGTTACTGCAGTGTTCCTCATTGACTCGATTGATGGCTTGACTTCATCTGGGTCGATCAACAAGGAGTTCGTTGGTATTATTTTGCTCCCGATCGTTGGTCACGCAGCGGACCACGTCATTGAAGTTACGGTATCCGTCAAGGATAAATTGACTTTAAGTTTGGGCGTTGCTGTGGGTTCGAGTATTGTGGGTTCATTCCTACAGACATGGCTTCTATGGCGACTCACCGTTTTCAGCAAATCGCGCTCTTTGTGATTCCGTGCATTGTGCTCTTGTCCATCTCTACATAGTATTTACTCAGATGGTTTCAGATTCATCGTGACACTTGGTTGGATTATGAACAAGCCATTGACACTTCTCTTTGACCCTCTGGAATCCATTGTCATGTTTCTCTCCGGTGCGTGGATGGATGGATGCGGGAGAACGTGCTAATTGGAAGGAGAAAATAGTTCTTACTGTCAATTATGTCGTGCAGGATGGCAAGTCAAATTGGCTGGAAGGAATGATCCTCATGTGTAAGTTGCTGTAGCATTTTTGGATGCGTTTCGCACCCAAGGCGCTCTCTAGGCGCCTACATGATTTTGGCTATAACATTTTGGTATTATCCTGGTGAGCCCCTCGTCGATGTAACTGAAGACTCCCACATATTAGATGCTGGTCTCACTAGGTACCCAAGGGATCTTTCCAAATTGCTAGACCAGACCAGCATCGATATCTTCGATGAATGGAGGATTGCCACGGGCTCAGTACTACTCGGCTAGGCCGCTTTCTTATCGAATCATATTCGGCACCATACACTATCGTGCTATTTTCTTTATGGTTTGGGCTAGGAACCCTCAGCTCTTATCTAATTCCCATTGCATGTGGGTCGTCTTGTTCCTACTTATTTTTTACAAGCAATCTGCTTACCTGTGGACATATCAGTATCGTTTATCATCCTCTTAGATTTCTTTACAATGGCAACAAAGAGCAGACTATATTTGCCGTTTCTCTTTCCTCATTCGTGGTTGAAAATAATGTCCAAACGTCGTGATATGATTCCGCCCTCTGAACAGAGCTGTGTCCATTTTACAGAATCACTCAACGTACCAACAGTACTGCGATAAGATCATAACGCTACAACAATATTGATGTTAAAAATTCTCAATAGAAAATTGTTCAGGCGCTTGATCAATCGGTCACCTGAGACCGCAGCGAAATTGTTTCAGAGCAAGTTAGGTATGCATACACAGCATCAAAGGCGCTCGATTGCCAAGAGCGTGCACATGGCGTCAACACGGACTAATTCCGCGGAATTAAACGCTCCGTTCTTACAGAATGAGCACGCGGCCACAATGTGATGCCGCATGCGGTACCACGAGTGCAGCTCGTGATGGTGAAGGACGAGCATGCACTGGCAGTTGGGATCAAAGCCAGACAGCCCATCGTCGATGGTAACAAAGATCGCGTAGTTCAGGACAACGGCATAACAAATCTAGAGATAGATGCGGACGCGATCTGCGATAGTTATGGCAAGCAGGCAGCTCACGATAGTACCGGTAGGAACAAATCATGATAAGCGCTAAGCGCCCAGTACTTGCACAGGGACTGAAAACGACGTAAAGCTGTGAATTTGAATTCTCCATGTTGAGTCAATGTGCTTACTTTGCGCAGCGGGAACTGAAGGTGATTATAGAGAATGGAAACAGGATAGACTCAGCTGAACGTACTACCGGTTCCTTCTGAGCGTTCAATGTTCAGGAACCGGGCGGCAGCATGTGCATGTTGGTGCCTGGCAGCGGTGCCGGTGATCTACGAACTGTCCCTCGAAGAAGTGTATGAAATGAGGAGAATAGGTATAGTACGGATATTTGATGCAGGTCTGTTCGACTAGTGTTGATGTTCTGATTTGATGTGAAACAGTGAGTTCTCGCCGTGGGGACTCGAGGGGTACCTACTACCAAATCAATTTATACAGGATGTACAAGGTCGTCATCAGCGACTTCTTCCGGCAAGCACCGAGGATTTCCATGATTCCCAGTAATACCCATCAGTTTTTATGGATAATCCCTTGATATGATGACGGTACGGGCTGCTACCAGATATCCGAACCGTGGATGTTGCAACGAGCCCTCTGTATTAATTAATGTCTTATGTAACTCGAAGACTGGTTTGACGCTAATACTATTGTGAATCCGACTCGGACTTCCTTGCTTCGGCCGCCCTACTAGACCTCCTTGCTTGTTGTAGTAGTACTCTGTTCTCTGTTACGACCTAGTTACATGCTAAATACGGCTCATCGGAGACTATACCAAACAAGGATGGCGAGCATCAGTTTCAACTCTAGATATGGTGCTCCACGTGCCACCAAGTACAGGGATCACATTGCAATCCATCAACCACGTTGATGCGGTGGAAAAAAAAAACCTGACCTGAAAATAACTTGGGTCTGCTTCACTTTGATCTTCAACGTTATAGATCACTAACAATACCCGCATGTGTCCGTCGCATGAATCGCAAAAATACCTCTCGGTAAACCTAAAAAATCTTGGGTCTGGCAAGGCACAGTCGATGCATTGCCTTGAGCCGGATAAATAGGAGAGCAGGCAAAGACTCGGATCTTGAAGCAGCCTGGGTTCCTTCGATGGCGGACACGACACCCTCTGCTGAGCCTGCTGAGTCCGGGTCCGGGAAAGGTTATGGCATTCAAGTCGCGTTCGTTATTCGCATCTCTACCCCGCGCAGTATATCGCCCTAACAGTAAACAGATACCGTACATTATCGGTTCGCGTCGAAGATAATAAGGCCACCCCCAAATCCCCGCTAGACCCAGCGGATGCAATTGCAAGCATAGATGCTCATCTACTCAGTGTTGACGAAGTATACACCCGGTATTCCAGTCATCCCACAGTCGGTTTGGAGCTTGCCGCTGTTCGTCGCAGGGAGCGTGATGGCAAGAATACCATCAGCCCTCCACCCACCGTCTACTGGAAGAAAACACTTAATTATGTTTTTGGTGGCTTCAATTTTCTCATGTGGATCGCGTTCATCTTGACTATCGTGAGTGCCGTTGTTCACCTGCCAATGTGACTTTCTAATACACATTTCAGCTGTCCTATAAACCACTCGGGCCTCCTCTACCTTTCGTTCTTGGTGTTGCAGTGCTTTTGGTTCGTGACTATCGACTCTCATACTCATTTTCACCCTTCTCATCAACTACAGATGCTTGTCATCATCATTTCTGCTGCATTTTATGCTTTGGTCGATTGGAACGCGAACAGAATCATGAAGTCGATCAAATCCCTGATTGCACACGAGGCCGCGGTCATTAGGGACGGAAACCAGCAAATCATCTCAGCTGCTGACATTGTAGTTGGTGATGTTGCCGTGCTCAGCGCTGGCGACCGTGTCCCGGCCGACATGCGTGTCGTGCAGGCATCATCCGACCTTCGCTTTGATCGCTCTCTCCTGACGGGTGAAAGGTCTGTCCCTTGTCTTACGTGCTTGAACATTTGGCTAAAGTACAATTGCAGCGAAATGATACCAGGAGCTCTTGATGCAACATCCGACAATGCTTTGGAGACTCGTAACCTCGCGCTGACTTCCACTTTTGTCGTACAAGGGACTTGCCATGGAGTCGTGTTCGCCACCGGAGATAGGACTGTCATGGGACGCCTTGTCAAGATGTCTGGAGAAACAAAGTTCAAGCTTACCACTATCCAAAGAGAGGTGTGGTTTTTCACCAAAATCATATCCTGTCTCGCGCTCTTTTTCTTCTGCTTGTCGCTTCTTCTATATGGCGTTTGGTTACGGACAACATATCCTGGGTATGACACCACGTCTTCTGCCATCGTAAATTCAATCGGCTGCTTGACTGCCTTCGTTCCGCAAGTAGGTGGCTAGCAGTGACATCTCATATTCCTTTCTTAGTTGACATCTTGCAGGGCCTCCCGATTTGCGTGGCACTCTCGTTGACTGTTGTCGCCCGTCGCATGGCTAAACGTCAGGTGTTGGTCAGGAATCTGGCGACAATCGAGACATTAGGGTGCATGTCTGTGTTATGTTCTGATAAGACAGGCACGCTGACTGCGGGAAAGATGGTAAGATAATTGATGCATCTACTCTTGTTACCAGCTTGCTGATGGACCCACAGATGGTGGAGAATATCGCCTTCCTCGATGACGTATTTGGTGTCGATGAAATCAACGAGAGGGTCGCGAAGGCCTCAAACCCGGCCGTTTTTTCTGTGTTCAAGGCGCTCCATCAGATCGCGAGGCTTTGCAACGGCGCAAAATTCGACGCAACGACCAACCACCTTCCTGTGCAGGATCGCACGATCAAGGGCGATCCGACTGATACTGCTCTTTTGCGTTTCTCCGAAGCTCTTTCAATACCAGAGCTTGACGTCGATTCCAGCACTCTTCAGCAAGAGTATGAGAAGAAGTTTGAGATCCCTTTCAACTCTCGCAATAAATGGATGCTTTCCGTGGTCTCTAAGGTCAACACTTCTGAAAAGGACGCAGAATCGACATGGATGTTCGTCAAGGGAGCTCCTGATGTTTTATTCCCTTCCTGCACCAGTGTGCTGCAAGGTGATGGGACGGTCGTCACGTTAACAAGCAGGGCGAGACAGATGTTCGCCACACTTCAAGAGGATTGGTCAAGCCGGGGTCAACGAGTACTCGTGCTGTGAGTAAGCACTTTTGACTTGGTACCTGACATCTGATAGCGTTGCCGAGGTAATAGATGTAGGAAACCCATAGAACAAATCAAGGCTGGACTTCCGCCGAACGACGTGGAAGATCTGATGTACGCGGAGATGTGCGATCTAACCTTAGTTGGTCTGATTGGAATTTGCGATCCTCCTCGCCCGGATGTATTGCCATCGATTTCCATCATTCGACGAGCTGGAGTTCGAGTCTTTATGGTCACCGGTGATTTTAAACTTACTGCTCTAGCTATTGCACGCCAGGTAGTTTCTTTATTTTCGGCCGCCATAAGATCACTACTAACCCCATTTTCAGGTTGGTATCATTACTCAGCACGTCGTCGACACCATCCAGGACGTCCAAGCTGCTGCATCCGAGAAGGTCTCGCCGAAAGATTATCATCTTATCAAGCCATCCGATGATGATGATGATCCTATCCGCTCCCTGGTACTCACAGGGGAAGACGTCGCATCTCTCACCACGCCTGATTGGAATGTTATCGTTGGGACCTACGCAGAGATCGTATTTGCGCGCACTACCCCTGACCAGAAAATGCGAATTGTAGAGGAAATAAAAGCTCGCGGAGACAATACAGTCGCAGTCACTGGAGACGGTGTCAACGATGCGCCAGCGCTAAAAGCTGCTGACATTGGTGTTGCGATGGGTAGTGGCAGTGATGTGGCCAAGGAAGCTGGTATGGATTTTCTTGACGCTCCTTTTGATGACGCTAATACCATCACTCTCAAGCCGCCTTGATCTTGTTGAAGAATGATTTTGCTTCTATCCCCGTCGCGATAGAGATGGGTCGACTAGTCTTTGATAACCTGAAGAAAGTCACATTGTACCTCATGCCGGTGAGTTGCATTTGTGGAAGCAGTATAATCTCAGCGGATTGATACTCATGGTGTTGCAGGCTGGAAGTTATTCGGAATTCATGGCGGTCCTCGCAAATGTATTACTAGGCATGCAGATTCCCATGAACTCGTATCAACAAGTCTGCTATTGCATCACAAACGATGTTATTATGTCCATCTCGCTGATGTATGAGAAACCGGAATGGGGTAGGTGCTCACGCATTGATTGGGCTTTCCAGTGCTCACTTCCTATGTAGATTTGATGCAGCGCAAGCCACGCAACGCCAGGACCGATAGGCTTACGGATTGGCGCCTTTTCTTCCATGTCTATTTGGTACGTTTCATGACCTAGGTGACCCAAACATGCTCATGTATATTTGCCCAGTTCTATGGACTGATGCTGTGGCCCTGCGCGATGGCGATGTGGTTCTTGTACATGAGCCAGCAAGGCCTTGGTTTCTATGACGTTATCCTGACTTTCAGCCGATGGGAGGATGGCTGGCAAGGTTACACTATCGATCAACTAACCCAATTCGTCGATGTTGGTCAATGCATTTAGTGCGTCGTCATTCTTTTTTCTTTCTCCTCCCAACGCTGATTCTAAGACTCGCCAGCTATGTGACGGTGGCCATCGGACAGTACGGGACTCTTTTATCGGTTCGCAACCGCCGAGTATCAATACTGCAGTCGAATCCTCTATGGGGCCCGCGTCGCAACCTGCTAGTACTTTTCGGCATGTCGGGCACGGTGTTGATCTGCATTGTGAACCTTTACGGAGCTGGCTTCCAGCAGGTGTTTTACACGAGGCCTATCCCTGGGATGTTCTGGGGTCTCCCGTTCACCTTTGCGTTAGGGATATTGCTCATGGACGAAACTCGCAAAGCCATCGTGAGGAGATATCCGAAGGTATGTTTTAAGTTACATGACGGTGGTGGAATTTCAATTCACATTTTTCCGTAGTCTCTGATTGCGTGGCTGGCATGGTGAACTCGAAATTATATGAAGTTGGATTTTTTTTGTCGGTACAGACGGTACCGGTAACTGCGCAGGTAACTGCTCGGTGTAAATTATTCAATATGTAATTTTTCACACGATCAGTTATGTAATATAGGGTTTCATCATCACATGACCTCTTATCACCGGGATTGAGTCATTTTGATAGTCAACCTTCTCCTCGCCCATTCCAAAGGTACAACCATCTAGGATATATTCATACCCAAGCCTCGGCCAACTGTGCTGTGTGTTCGTCGCCACTCACACACAACGGCAGCGCTACTCATCGGGTACTCCGATCACCCGTTCTTCTATCGTGTCGTAGTTGACCTTACATCCGGTAAATACGACACTACCGCATTTGGTGATCCTTCATTCGGATACAACTCCATCATCGAGCCTTTCTTTGCAGCTCAGCCAGATGATTACAGTTTCATCATCACTGGTGATCTGCAAGGTTCCGTTGGCATTTACGATTGGGACACTCCGCAAACATCTTCTCCCATCGTACCTGCTCGCAGATTCGAGGCTCACGAAGATGGTGCCGTGACTGCGCTTGGTTGGAGCTCGGTTGTTCTTGCCACAGGCTCTACACGCGGCACAACGACCGTATGGGACGCGCTCACCTTGGAGCCTCTTAGGCTCTTTTCGTCCCCAGTCCTGCGTGCTGCACCAGGTCGCGAATTTGGAGGCGTCAGCAGGATTGTGATTAAACAGGAACTTTTGGTCATTATCGCTAACAATCGGGTAATGTCATGGAAGGTGGGACAAGTACACCACCGCGAAGCTCCGCACAAAGTGAAACATGCTCGTGCGAGGAACCCAATTCCCAAAGGACAACGCATGCACGTTCCATACTTTGTAGATTCTTGACTGATCAAATGTTGCAGAGCGATACGATTTGCACAGGGTTATCAAAGAATCCAAACGTGAACTGGAACAGGAGAATGCTTATGCGCGACGTACCATGGGGCGAGAACGCGAGCAACGTTCCACTCTGAACATGCTTGGACTGTCGGAGTCAGAGGCAATAGAATATGTACTGATGCTCTCCCGCGAGGAAGAAAAGCGTCGCCGAGTTTCCCATACCATCGATGAAGGTGTCTTCGAGGGTGACTTTGAAGACGAAATGTTCTTACCAGTCGCTTCAAGTTCTTTAACAAGCCATGGTCCTGCATTGCCGGCTTCGAACCAGTCTTTCCCAAGTTTGCTTGACGATCACCATTCCCGCACCTATCCACGTGCCGCACGTCCCATGACGGATGAGAAAGTACAGGTGTCTCCTGTCTTCGTCCCGGAACCTATGGAAGCCGGCATCACCATAAGCCCACTCAGGATACCTGCATCCCTGCCAGGTTCTTTGACGAGTACAAGGTCTTTACCGGACGTGGCTCGCAGCACGTCGTCCTCTTTCGAACACTTTGCCTCGATCAGTTCTAGCATTTCCTCATCGACCAGCAGCCTAGAACACAGTTGTTCGGCGTGGAGTACACCCTTACGGTCGCCGCCTTCATCCCCACATGTTGGCACACCTATCTTGCGCACGTCTTCTACAAGCACAGAAAATCATGATAGGCAGTGTGAGGAAGAGCTCCGGGCTACCCCAGATTTAGATGAAATGGACGCGGATTTGAAATTTGCGATTGAGTTGAGTCTTGCGGAAGCGCGTAGTCGAGGCGAGGTTTGAAAGTGGGAAGGTAATCAAACTGTCGTTGATACACCGTAGATTGGATAGAGCACCGGAACAATATTTCTAATTAAGACTACATATGTCTTTAACGTAGCCGTGGCACGTCTTCGAGATGTGACTTAGCGTCCATTTTGCACCATAGTAGCAAAAGATCAACAAGACCTTTTTGCCAAAAAAAAAAAAAAAAAGAGAAAACGGCCTGAACGCGAACATTGAGATCCGTTGCACAAACGATTTTGAATTGGCGAGGACATCTCGATCCTGGGATATCCGACCGCATCCGCGCCAGCATAATAATAATCATTCCCACGCATCAATCACAACACATAATATAGTAAAATATACTACATTCAATAATCATGCATTCATGTATTAAGCTCGCTGTTTCCCACACGTCCTCGCTGTCAGCCACCACCTTGCGCACAACGTCAGGGATATTACTACATTTAGCCAAGCCGCTACCTAACAGCGCCGCTACATGCTTACCTCCCTGCACCGCACTCAATGACTACGCCAATACCATCAGCCCTTGAGGTGCTGCAGTTGCTGCATCATCAGCTCCTACTGGCCCACCTCCAACATTCACCACGACACAAAGGGCGAGGGCGGGGAAAGAGACACAAAGGGCGGGGGCGGGGAAAGAGTGACGTAGTTCAAGGTGATGTGCTTGGTATTGTTTATTTGTAGATGTCACGCTGAGTCATATCCGGGGCGAATGCTGGATAGGGTCGGAGGATCTGGACTCCCACGATAATCGAACCAAACATTCCATAAGCAAAACTTTGCCAAATCATTACCGTACTACTGTGCTAGGCAAGCGTCGTAATAACGCCATGGACGGGAAAGTTGCTAAGTACGATGAAGTTCATGAATCCTTATGTTCAACATACTGAAAATATCCTCAGGAGACGCAAAATCACAGATAAATCCGTCCCAAATGCTCTTGCGCAGCTTCCAGAGTTCGCTGAGGACTCACACATGTACCAAAGCTTGCTAGAGATGGAAAAGAGGCTCGACTGGACAATGAACCGGAAAAAGGTGGAAGTGCAAGACGCATTGGCGCGCAATCCGACTGTAGGTTTTACATGCCTACAATATACGATTGGTACTAACAGATTATCAGACTGCGCGTACACTGCGGCTATTCTTGAGCCATACGGTCTCTGGGCAGATATGGCAAGCTGGCGAAGCTGGTGCCGAGGGCGTCAACTTCGAGACGGGGCAGGGAATCCCAGCCTGGTCCCTGAAGGTTGAAGGACGATTATTAGAGGTACGTTTATTTCAGTGGATGAACGCATTGCTTTCTAACGCCCATGAAGCTTCCCAATCAACGTGCGCGGGACCGGGTTTCTCCTCGAAAATTCTCCACTCTCATCAAACGAATGATCGTTGAGCTTGACCGTGACCCAACTTTGTATCCAGATGGGAATGTCATCGAGGTAAGCGAGCTCAGTTGAGATGAGGTGGTCATCTTATTTTAATTCGTTGTTTCAGTGGCCTCGAGGTCCGACTATTCAGCAGCCTCTCGATGGGTTTACCGTAAGGCGAACTGGGGACCAGCCGACGAAAGTGCGCCTCATAGTATATCTCGAGCAGACGCCAGAGCAGTATAAAGTGGCATCAGACCTGGGTACGTCTCGTGTATCTCGACTTGAATTCTCGACCTGATGATAGTCCCTAGGCAACGTCTTGGGAATCAAAGAGGAGAGTCGCATTGGCATAATTCAGGCCATGTGGAACTATATTAAAATACATGGCCTGCAAGACAAAACAGATCGCCGAAGAATACGCGCTGACGATTATCTGAGACCGGTACGCTGATTACATTGACTCTTTACTATCATATGAAGTTCATCATTGCAGATCTTTGGCGGAGAAGGCATTATGTTCCACCAACTGCCAGAGCTAGTCAATCGATATTTGATGCCTCCAGACCCTGTAATCATCTATTACACCATCAACCCAACACAGATACCCCCAGAGCGCCCTTCTGCGTGGGATATTGAAGTCAAGATGGAGGACGCGGGTTTGAAGAACCGCATCATGGTGACAGTGCAATCAAGTAAAGACAGCACGTCCGACCTCACCAAGTTGGATGATGAAGTAATATGTCCACTACCTCTGATCCGACCCCTTCTCTAATGCCTAAAAATGTAGATTGCGCTGCTATCACAATCACTACATAACTCGCACACGAAGCGGCAATTCCTTCAAAGCTTTGCCCGAGACCCAGCTAATTTCATACAAACGTGGCTGGCATCGCAGTCTCGCGACTTGGAAAGTGTGCTTGGGAGTGGACCGAGTGAAGGTGCCACTATTCGCGCGGAGGAGTTGCGTAGGAGTGATTTCTTCAGGCTACCTTGGGTTGAGGAAGCTGTTGCTGTTCATGAAGGATTGCGCCTGGCATCTCGAGGTATGCAATGAAAGCTATAGAACTACGGTTCCTTGCTATGTTGGCCTTGCTTTTGCAGTCTTATCTTATTCTAATCGTTGCATTGTTGTACTTACGTGTGTATTGCGCCAAGAGCTTTTGATGATCATTTCCCATTTTATGCTAGTACGCGACCTTAATTTTTTTGACTCCGAAGTCAGACCACCCAAAATGAAATATGCGATAAAGACTACAATAGCTCTAAGCGCCCACGTTGGGCATTACGACGGCACACCTTTCTCATTCTCACTGTCATGGCCAGTAAACAGGCAAGTCCTTTATTAATTGCTTTTGAGCTAGTCATGAAGGTGGTTCGTGTCACAGCTCGGGAAGTTGAGGCAGGTTAGTCGTCGATTTATACTAATACGTGGCTTCTCTACTCAAGTGCTGTTGGAATGAATAGTGGGCTGGTGAGAAAATATCCTCGCGAGATAAGACTATCGTCGCGGAGGAGTTCAAGGACATCGAGCAGGACATCGAGCTCCGAAAAGAAGGGATTCTGAAGTGCGTTTGTCTTTCACAGAACTGCATAGAATCAATTGACACTCTACGTGACAAGGCTGCAGGCAGCTGCGGAAGATTACCAGCATGTACTTTCCAAAAAGAAGGAATCGACCGTTATACAAGAGACAGAGAAACTCATGCCGCTGGATGCACTGGGAATCGTAATGATCTCACATGGGGAAGAATTTGGAGACGAATCTGCTTTCGGTACGCCACCACTCCTTTATCGATTTACTTCCCTTTAGCTGATATATTCAGGGACATCACTTGTGAAGTTGGGTAGAGCTCATTGCAAGGTTGCCACTCTGCAGGAGGCGTTCGCCCTTACTTTTCAGGATACCTTCATCACCTCCTGCCAGAACTTCGTTCAAGACATAAAGGACTACGAACACCAGCGGAAGAAGCTGGAGAGTAGGAGGTAAGATAAGCTAGTCCTCTCGCCGTCTTGAAGGTGCTCACTCTGGGTTCAACAGGCTGAGCTATGACGCCGCTATCACTAAATTTGATAAGATCAAAGGCAGCAAAAAGGAAAAAGAAAAGGAAAGGCGAGAAGCTGAGGATGAGCTACAACGCAGCCGTCTGCGCTAGTGAGTAACACGCCAGAACTAGTCATCTAACTTACCGACAAGGGCATAGCGAAGAAACTGCTGAAGATGTGCGCTCCCGAATGCAGGCTATTCAGGAAAACGAGATACAACAACTTCGAGAGTTAACTTCGTTTCTGGATCTCAAGCTTAATTTCGCCAAGCAGTACTATGAAGTGTTGCAGGATGTGAAAGCAAACTGGTGTGACGAGTATGTTCATCCCAGCTAACCTGGATCTAGCTTCTGATTCCCAATATGTTTAGGTCTACTCTGACAAAGTTCGAGACTCAACGGAAGAGCTTTCACCCTCCTGTCTTCTCACGCGCCACAGAGGATGGTAGATTTCATTCTGTATCCAAGGGGTCCACGATTTCCCAAGCGTCTGGTGCAGTAGCTTCCTCCAATGGTTCCGACGAGCATAATTCGTCCCCTATTTCTACCCGCCGGAAGTCAGACGCAGGGATCAGGACCATCTCACGACCGTCGTCGCGGGCATCTCGTAAACGCTCCGATAGCAGTGTTACACGGAAACGTTCTGATAGTGATGCTACATCTGGTGCCCCTGAGACTCCGAAAGCAGACATTTCGGGTAAGAAGATGAACATTACTGGTTGGGCATCGAGCGCCATGAGCTCGATGACGGGAAGAGGAAAGAAAGACAGAGATAACTTTGCAGCCCTCACAAACGGGGACGACCCTGAGACAGATATCACCGACTTTTCCCGTCCTCCAAGCTCTCGGTCCTTTTCTCGGAAATCACCCAGCTCCAAGGCGAAAGAGCTACTTAATGGGTCCCCAAAAACGACGACTCAAATCATGAAGCCGCCTTCCCAATATGCACAAAAGCTTGTTCGGGCGTTACACGACTTTACAGGTTCTTCAGATGAGCTCACCTTCAAAGCCGGTGACGAAATTATTGTTATCCAAGAAGTCCTGGATGAGTGGTGGCTTGGCGTTCTGTCAAACGGTCGGAAGGGGCTGTTCCCCTCTACGTATACGGAGACCATTTCATTGTCACCATCATCCTATCGAGTCTCGGCGCAGTCATCTGAAGACGACTTGCACTATACTGCTGCGAGCGAGGATAGCGAAGACGATGTCGGTTATCTTCTTGGAAGTCGTGTTATGGACACGAGCCATATATCTGCGAGGTTTGGACATGGTTTCGATACAGAGAGTGTCACTAGTACCGTTCCTGAGGATGAGGAAGAGTCAAGGTTGGTGACGGCGAAAATTGATGAAGAAGACGTGTACTATAACCCGCGTCACGCATCTCCGCAACTGCTTCCACCTTCCATCTCAAGCAGCCGACCTACCTCTCAGTCCAGCTTTGCAATCAAGCGCGCTCCCCCACCTCTTCCATCACGTCGACCGACTAACACAGCTGCTCCCCCGCTACCTAGCCGCACCTCTATCAAGCCCCAGTCGCAATCTAATAGTCCCCGTCCTCTGACATCGGCATATCTGACACCATCGCCTTCTGCGAGCAGTGTGCAAGGACCAAACGTCTCACCTTTTGATAGCCTCTTGGACGTGTCTTCCACTTAAAGCTTGCGATGCAGTTCTTCCGATTCTGGTCTTGGATTATCTGCATTTGGTGGATCGACAAGTAATTCAGCTGTCGTTTTGCTAAATCATTGATTGTTAATGTGACTACACTACGTCTACCGTGTCGAGGGGGATTCGTCGGATAGGCGAGCTCGGGGCCCTCTAGGTCAAGTTCGACTTTTATTTGTTTGTTGTATGCATTCTTCGACACGAGCTCTCGGACAGACATCTCCATCAGTATTAACTAGAACTACTATAATCATTCGGTGTGAACAATTCATGTTCGACTTGAAGTCAACAACCAGGATGCTCGACTACTGTAGTCTATTCAAATTGATTACCACTTTCGTTATAATCAAACATGTGACTTGCGACAAGCATTTCCTTGGTCCGAGACTCAGTCATTCCACTCCAACGACCATGTCTTTTAGAAAGATCGACATCGACGCATACGACGAGGATGTACTACTGGACGACGAGCTTTGTGAGCCAGATCCACGCGATCCCGCTCAGGTCTTGAGTGATGCGAAACAGAAGCAGGCCGCAGTCCGGAGCACATTAGCCAGGTACAGTACATGATCTGACTTAAGCACCACTCATTCGCGTAGAGGAGACATACCAGGGGCCCTGGGAATCGCGCTGGACAGCACACCTTATGGATCAAATGTCGAGGAAGCTAAGGTGATTGATTCTGTTGCCGACATCGCACCAATATGCTAACATTTGTGCAAGAACCTGACGTTGCAGACCGTGGTCTCGATACTGAACAGCACGAAATCGTCGGAGATAAACAGCGTCGTGAAAGCGCTCTCCCAAGATGCTCAGGACACTTTGATGAAGTACCTTTACAAAGGTATGGGGATGCCGGGCTGGGGTGATGTGAGTGGCAGTGTGCTCTTGGGCTGGCATGAGAAGGTGTGTCTAAAGCTCGCCTCCCATATAAATTTTCTGACCATTAATTTGCAGCTGACAGAAGTTGCCGGCACTGGCTGTATTGTACGAGTAATGACTGATCGACGAAGTGTATGAATGAGCATGCCCCCTCAGCTATTAATGGATCATGCATGATGCACATCTCCACCACGCAGCAGGATAAACATAAATACTTAAGCATTCTGATTGATATGGAGGTACATGACACTGCAGCAAGACGTATAACGTTTCAGACGAATTCAACTACAAATACATTCACAAAACACAAAATTACATCATGGTGAAAACCAGTGTTGACACAATCGCTGTTGACCGGAACTGCAGTCAGTTAAGGTCCTCGGCAGAAAGGCAAAAACTTACGCTAAACAGACCTGGCGGCGGGCGCTCATTCCAGAAAATCCCCCTCGGTCAGAATGCGCCCATTGAACATCTTTCCGAGGTGAGTTGGCAGAAACCCCGTGCCTTTCCTTCTCATTCCGAACAACTTCTTCAGCGGAGGAAGCTGGGATCCCTTGAACAAACACGATGCTCTCGCAGAAGAGCGGTTCTCCTCCCTGATGAATCCATCACTGTCGGCTATCAATTCCTCGTCCCCCAAATCTGGCGCGTTGAGCCCTAAGAAATTGCAAGTGCGAAGATACATCTCGTAACTGGAAAAATACAGTTGACCCGCAAAAAGGTTGAGCTGGCAAATCAGCGGTTCTGCTGGGATCGGATGTGGCGTCGAAGGAACACGATACAGTCGAAGATCATCGCATGCCTTCATCGTGTTTGTGGTCCGAGGGGTATAGACGCACAACTGAACTGCGTTGCTGTTACGGATATCAGGGAGCAGTGCGTCCACTTCGTTCGGGCTCATGACTACCAGCACTCCAACGTCACTGAGTATGATCCAATTGACGGGCCGCAGGTATTCATCCGCTTTCTGTGTGGTAAAGATAGTCCCCACTGTACGAGCGAAGTCACGGGTGACTAAAACGTTGTGTGACCACTGATGATCTTCATGAAATTCCGCAGTGGTGTTGACGAGGCTGGATAGCGCTGGAATGAAAGCGGGGGACCTTTTGGGAATTCGGCCGGTCTTGACAAATCGACGAACGTGCGCATGCAAGTCCTGGGCTGCGGGTTGCACTTTGGGCGGTCTTTGAACTTGACGTTCTCTCTCTACCTCGTGAATAACCTCCCTTTCTTGTTCCTCATCCATGCTCCTTTCGGGCCCTGTTAAAACTCCGAGCTCCTCGCACTTGCTTCGAATGTCTGCATCGCAAACATGGGATACCTGAGAAGGACTGCGTGGTGCATACATATCCTTCAACGAACGCTCCTCTGGCTGCAACCAGGCTGTTTTCAGGGTGGAACTCGAAATGGTAGGCGCGCGCGAGAATTGAGTCCATGCAGAATGCCGGGCGTTGAAATCTGATCCCTGTTGAACCCAGTGGAATGCACGCATCTGAATATCAAGACAGGTTTCGAGCATTGACCAGTGTAGAATATCCGCAACGTCGACACGGTCTGTATCAGCCTTCTGAATTGCCGAGCGAATGCTTCGGTCAACTTCCGTTGGAGCGAAGAACATCACAGAGTGACCATTTCCCAGCTTCCGCATTCGCATGCATCCTGTGTCGTTGGTTATTTTCAAACTCGGTACGCATGAACTCTGGAATCACAAACCTTGCATCAGGCGGTCTTTCGTGACTTTCGGACCAAGCGTGACAGCAGCTCGGAAGCCAGAAGGCAGCTTGACATCCGTTCCTCTTGTATGTGCGTCATCGAGATATATCACACACTGGTCGAGCTGTTGGGCGAAGGGAGACGACACAAGAGGCTCTACCATGCCATCCCGACTGATAACAACGATTTCGTCATCGTCGTTCACAAAAACTGCGGCTTGGGCATCGCACTTGGCTCGAAGCCATGCCTCGGCCAATTCCTGATTCTTCAATTCCAGCATCTGCGCACCCACATCCAGGAGCACGCGGACCTCGGGGGTTTGTGCTATCAAGGTGTCTATGAAACGTTGCACCTTCTGGCCTGACGGTATGGGTCTGTAGTAGTTGTTTTCTGGGCGCAAAAGGAACGCCAGGACTCGGGCATTCGTGCTGCGTTGGTAATCGAGGTCATGCTGCACTATTGAGCTTGGCAAAAGATACCGGTTGTCGTTGGTACCAGAAAAGCCGGTGGTGAGATGTCTCTTCTCTTGAGCAAGATCCCACCCGGAACGGGTGAGCTTGCTGGGGAATGCCTTCGCTTCCTTGGGAAAAACTACTCGGGACAGGTAAAAATCTATGACCGCCTTGTGGAATTCGAACAGTCGTTGAAGGTCAGGGAGCTGCTCTGCGGATTCCGTATTGATTCCACTGAGCTGACGCAGACTGTCTGGGACAGACTGAAGTCCAAGCACCCAGGATTCATACTCAAGGGTAGGATTATCCTGCTTGAGCAGGAGCTCGAAGCACAACATCAACTGCTGGAGCGTGAGACCCCCATAATAGTATGACAAACACGTGAGGGTAATAGCAACGTCTGGGTGGCCAAACTCTGCCCGCAACGATGGCATGTCTTTTGCGCGAAATGGAACAGCTAGCATCGTTCGTTTGGGGGTGAGGCCATAGTCTACGCGCCAGCGACGTTCTTTGAGGGCGTACACCAAGATCCCACATGCTAGCAATCCACGCAAGACTAGGAGGCCTGGCCAGACCGTAGTGTGTTTATAGTGATCCTCCACTACGCTGACACAAGTACTGGATATATTCTCGGTTGCGATAAAACGGCAAACAGCTTCTTTCACGTGGAAAGGTGCTTGATCGAAGCTGATGTTTTCAAGCGCGCCATTGATGACATCCTTGGCGATCCACTGGATTAATGCTTCACCTGCTGTCGGGTGCAGAACGCGAATGAAGGGTGATCCCCCGTGCTCACGAATAGATACTTCTGAACGAGAGGGAAACTCGGTCATGAGTCGAGGGGCGTGCTTCGCAACAAGACTCAACACTTGTTGTGTTGTCGTCCACCTTTCAGGATGACCTTCAAGCGACTTTTGGAGACCCACAGTGTATACCAGCTGGTAGCGAACGTGCAGAATTTCATCGCTTTCATCCAGGATGTCGCGTGTGTGATTGTCTAGCCATAGCTGAGTCCGCAGTATATGAGTCCGTAGCATATTATCAGCAGCTTCAGTCCGATTGGACAGCTGAAGGTCGACAGCCATCAGCTGGAACGACAGAATATGGTCCGGCTGCACGACCAATATTCCCTTGGTATCCATGCACTCTTGCATCAGGTCACGATACATTTGCACCTTCGACGAGTTGATAGAGAGCCCGCGGGAGAATGGGATATAGAAAATGCGCCTTTGTGCGAGGCCGCTTAGTCGTTCAACCAGAAGTTGGAACATCTGGGCTGACAACGATTTCAGCACGATTACTCGGATCAGTTTGTGGCCATCAGAAAGTGCGGCTGCTGCGAGGGGAACGATAACGTAGGATTTGCCTTCGCCCATGTTTAGTTGGAGAGAAGTATTTCTTCCTGTGCATGGTGACATCATCTCCAGCGCAACCTTGACCTGGACTGGCCGTGCCAAGAACTGACTTTCAATCTAAGAATGTCGATAATCAATAACCATCAACGATTGATTTCTTCATGGCCTACCTGTATTAAAAGCCAGTCAGGGTATAGCTCCGGATCAAATCCTTCACATTTTTCGCTCTCCAACTCCTTGAAGAACTCCACCCAGTTTTTGTTAGCACCAAAGACCAACAGCCTTCGCGAGTGTTGCAGTTGCAAAAGTATCTGCGACAGCTGGACAAGAGTAGCACGCCAAGTCTTCCCCAAAGGACTTCCTGCTGCAGAAGCCATGCGCGTGAAAAGGAAATTTGGTGTAACTCGAGGCCATAATCCAGCATTATATAACGTGTGCTCAGCAGCAGAGGCAGGGGAGAGGGCGTGTGAGATAGATGCGAGTGAATTTTGGAATTGCCGACTATGGAGAGAATGATTCTTGAGCAGTAGTTCTATCGTGTATGGCGTAGAATCTGGTAGGGCAACAATCTTTTCGTCACAGTATATCAACCTGCTCTGGTTCAGATCGTCGGCGTATTTGCAACGAAACTTGTCGGTTCCTTGTGCGCGAAAGTCGTTGATCAACTGTTGCAGCCTCACTGTAACTCGGGAGTCTGGGGATACCAAATCTCTTCGATTGGCAGTAGGTAGAACTTGGGAAGACCCGTACATGCTTGTCACAGGCGGATCTCTATTGAACAGGTACTGGGCATCAACAGATGAGGCCGGTGATGCAACATCCGAGCTCTCAAGGCGGGAATCAAGACGATATTGAGAGGGAAGTTTTGAAGGAGGTTTGGGCGTGTAGAACCGTTTGAGTGTTCCCTGCAGGCCATCCAGGTGTAGCTTCAGATGACGGTTTTGCCGACAGCTGCGAAATACTGGGGAAACTTTCCCTGCCAGCTCATTGAGATTGTAGCACTCCACTTGCAACGTACTAAGTGCCGGAGGATTTTCGCATGGCCAGGCACCCCGAACTTTGCTGAGAATTACTTGCTTTTCAGAGTGACACTTGTCTTCGAAAGCTGAATAACGACGCTGCCCCAGAGTCTTTTCATCTTCGCCAGGGCATTGCAGGTAGGTGTCTCTCCTGGCTGTTTTCGTAATCTATGGAGCATGAACCGATGATATTGTCCAATCTCGTATCGGATGGCATGAAGCCATCCGAGAGATCATAAGAAGTGAACTTCGGGGGGCCTCCCAGGACTGCGAATTTCGGGAAACCGTAGCGAAAGCTAGGAGTGTTGACACGAGCGCATCATCATCCAACAAGCTGTATGCTACCGAAGCCAGAGTGAACACCAGCCGAGATGTGTCCTTCTTTGTAGCCTTGCGACAGTGGTCATACGCAGAAAGGAAGACATCTGAAAAAGTCGGTTGAAGCCAGTCTTTGGAGTACTGCAAACTGAAGCGCCTCGCCAATGCCCTGGACATTTTGCCACCGAGTCAACAAACTAAGGAGGTTCTGTTGCACTGGAAGTCTGCTTGGCAGCTGATGCACCATGAAGGCGGTTTGAAATGCCCTCGCTTCCGCAACTTTGTTGGGAATATGACGTGAAGCGTAGATGACATCTGTATCACCGAGCGGAAGTGGAAGAGAAAACTGATCAGGATAGATCGCCGAGGCACGAACTGATGCGCGCTCAAGAAGGTGGTCGGTGAATCGCGGAAGCTCATAGGTGACCTGAAGGTTTGCAGACCCTTCTGAGAAAGTCAAAAGTTTCATTCCGTAATCCATGATAGATTTCGCGGCTGGATGGAAACCATGGTGCTGTGCAAGGGGCGCAAGGCATGACCACGAAATTGTCTGCATCTTCTGAAGATGAGTGGGATACCAGACGCGCTTCGTTGACAGCGAACTGATCTCGCGCAAAAGGTCTGCATCGCGAGGGCGAAGCTTCATAAACGATCGGCAAGCTGCGGAATGCAAGAGATGCAACGCCTCCTCTGTTCCCGTTCGACCCGTCAGGGGATCAGGGAGACAACCGCTGGTAACAGCGTGAAGGAGCGCCTGATAGAGCTTACTTGTGAGACCCACGTTCCCAGTGAGGCATTGCAGATCTGTATCAATCCTGTACAACTGGTATGTCATTCGAGTACCTTCAGGAGCGATGGTGATGCGGACATGGTGACCATCGGCGGAGTATGAGATACGACCGTCTGGGATTATGACTGTGCGTGGATCCTCATCCGCAACTTGCAACTTCGGGCGCAGGATGAGTTGATTGACCAATCCTAGCATCGTGCCACTAGACTGAATGATATCAACAACCATGTTGCGCATGTTACGGGACTGCAACTCTCCATCCTCATCGATGAAGAATTCGAGACCATATCGAGGCAAATTAGCCTTCAACGAGGGAGTGCTACATTCGCAGGATGCTTTGTTATATGTGACCATGATAAAGCATGCATCTTCCAGAGGACGCAGCCTCTTGGAGATCATGTCCCACGTTTGGCTGCGTATGTCGGCAAGGGTGGCACCACTGGAGTTCTGCGCCGTTGAGGAACCCGAAACAGCAAATTGTATGACCCAATTGTCAGATGAAGGTTTCCACGCATTGTCTGCTGGCCGAATCTCAATTTCGCTCGTGTGCAGGTTAAGCCAATGAGTATGTTCCGCGACCAAGGTGGTTGGTAAGTCCTTCATGAATTTATGGCTCGGAATGAGCTGGAGGATAGGTGAATCGTCTTCGATATGCTTCGCACGGATGATGAGATCATTCGAGTCACGGAGAGCGAAAGACACCTTCAGGAACAAGTGAGTACGTCTTTAGTTACTGAGTAATTACATCGAGAGTAACCACAGACCTGATGGTCACAGAAGTTTCCGCGTGTTGCATATTCCATTCCGAGAATATCAGCTGGAACGATGTCCAGAACTTGCTGTAGTTGATAGGTGAGCATGTGCGAACAAAACTACAACTTTCGAAGACTCACATCGCCGAAAATCGATTGGTAAGTGGGATGTTGCACTATACTTGAAGGGAGCCTCCCCAGCTGCTTCCCGTCGACAAGCAAGCATCCACTAATCAAATTGATGTGCACGTCCTGTGGTAATTGGGAATTTGAAGGTGCAGTCTGTGCCACGAGCCAACGAGAATTCGGAGCTGTCAATGCCCTCCAAGGAGTTCCTGGTCTGTAGCTGCCCCAAATCTTGGCCATCGCGCAATCAAGACCCTCCCTGTGAGACTCTGCATATTGGCGAATAATGGGTTCTAATGCGTGGCAACACCTCTTGTCTCGCTCTAGTAGTAGCTTGGAATGTTGTGGAAGGTTGTCGAGTTGACTCGGAGTGTTGTCATAAATCATGACCGCACAATATACAAATACTTTGATGTCATCGTTCGGCGTCAGGAGCAGCGAAGCGTCTCCATCAACATCGAAAGTGCTACGACAGGTGACTGCCATATCCAGAACGCGCCCTTGAAAATCTCTGCTGACGGTCTCGTCGTTGCTTGCTTGCATTTTCTCTGATAGTTGCGTCAGCAACGTAAAAGTCGCAGTTCGTATCCTTCGAAGGAGCGCATGTCCGCGATTTTTGACACTCTGTTCCTGAGTCGAGGACAAGACGCGGCACACAAGCATCACGATAGTGTCGATTGTGACAGCTTCCAGCCAATTTCTTTCAACGCTCGCCATCAAATCGTCCAGCTCTCCGAGTAGTGCAATAAGGAAGGGCACGCTGTTCAACTCCTCATGCCAAATAAGGCCATCATCGGACGAAAATGGGCCGACCTGTGAAACAGCTTGGGCCAACAGTAGATGGACCTCCTCACGTCGAAAATTGAGCGTCCTTGCACGAAGTTCACGAAGCACATTCATCCATTGTAAACGCGGTCCACTCCGCAAGGCTCCGAACGCGATGAATTCATGGATGGTCATGTCCTTGTGACAACCTACTTGATTGGACATGACTTCGTTTGACGTGTGGGAGGTCCCTGTAAGGTACTGCTGCATACCATCATATGGTCCCTTCGGAAGAAGGAAAGTGCACAGCTTGGTGGCGTCACATCGTAGCAGTACGTCTGCTGCCCATGCATCTGTCGATGCGTCGAAAAGCCGAAATTTGAGTCCGTTATTCACACAGACTTTGATGCTCAGCGTAGGAATGTGAGTGTTGCTGTAATGAGACTTGGAGAAAGGTTTGGCATCCGACGCCAAAGTGAGCCTTTGTCTTGCATGGCACGTACGATATTGCTTCAAGGCGTCATATTTTGGCAGTGTTATGAAGGGACGAGTAGGCGAAATCTTTGCTGGAGTGCAGATGTCCACGAAGACATGAAATGTCATGGATCTCCACATGTCGAACGTAATGGGGCATCCTAGCTCAAACACGACCAATATCGCCTCCTGTTCATGCTCTGGTAGCGGCCACTCGTGAACTGTAATTGTCATGGATTGCATCTCTTTCTCCACGCGACACTTTTCACACCACTTTTTCTTGTGCCACTCCAAGCCGCGGGAGTTGACAGCGTATTCGTGAGCTGAATTGCCTGCGCGTGTCTCTAGGTCACAGTACCTCTTGTTTAAGGTCCGAAGCTCGGTCAACTTCTTCTCCCGCTGTCTCTGACCATCCGCCTCAATGCGAACCTTCAAACTCTGTAGCTTGGACGACTGGTAGAAATATCGCGATGCGAATGACTTGTCATCGCTGGTAAATGAGAATGCTGACAGATGGCTGGAAGCCTGGCAATGACGAGCTTTCAAGTAGGCGTGCAATGTTTTGAAACGATCAAGGGCGGAAGCTTGGCGGATTAAAAGACACCCCCAAAGCGTTAGTGGGATTTCAGGGGAGTATTCTGCCAAAAGTGGGATTTGTCCAACGACGATCTTATCCATCGCTACCCAGAGCTCGAAAAGGGTGAGAAGCATGATAGACAAATTCTCCGGATTTCCTTTGTAATCTTTAAGCGCTCTCGAAGAGTATGCAGAGGCGCATGCCTCGATCGAGACGCATGCGGAATCGACACTTCGGGGTGGAACACGCGCCACCCAATCATCAATCCCTGATCTGATGGCGATCTCGAAGTCTGCTAGGGCAAGATATGGTTCTGCGGTATGAGCGGCTATCAGGAAGCTAGCTTCGGCGTCAAGGAAATTATCGATTGTCCCGCGTGTGTGGTGGCTGGGATTGAATGGGGTTGTTTTGGAAGAGGAATGCTGGTTCTGCAAAGCTTGGCAGATGTACTCTCGGCTCGTGTTCAAGGAAAGATGGGTATCTCGCAAAATTCGGAGGGTCTCCGGAGCCCAAAGAGGCGAGGCCCGTTGTGCGTTCTGAATAGATCCCCATCTTTCCTCCAGGACGCTCCTTACATTCGTGGTTACAACGGTAACCATCTGCGATAACTCTGGAGAAGTAGAGGATCCAAGCTTGAAAAGACGGCGTGCGATCTTTGCCGACATGAAGTGTAGAATGTCGTTCGATAAGTCATGGTCGAGGGCGAGGGTCGTGAGCCTCGCCATGAAGAACAGCATGAACGATTTATACGTCGTTCGTCCGAGAGCACTGCGCTCCAGAGTCGTCTGTAAGGCAACGCGAATCACAAGCCAGAGTGGAGACCGCCTCCATGGCAACTTCGCGCTGTCCCACAGCACATCATCTCCGATGCGCTTGCGGATGCGAGGGACATCAGCGATGCTCCCGAGGCCACGCAATATACCGGTCAGGAGCTCTGTGATATACCGTGGATGCGTGGTGTCCCTCTCTTCGAGAACAGTGAATTTAGCCTTTTTCCTTGTCGCTGCTGCATCAAGGACATCTTGATCCATGTGGACGAGAAAATTTGCCAGCTCGGCAGGAAAGGTAGCATTGTCAATGTTCATATCTGGGACCGTGATAGCAGGTCCAGGATAGGAACATATCAGCTTTCCCTTTGCGCCCATCACTGCGGTAGGGTCAGGAGAGACCTCAAATGACTCGAATATAGTTTCGGATTCGAGTTTTCTCATTACAACCGCAGCATTTTGAGCGCGAATCATATATACAAGGACATCTGAAAATAAACACTCAATACAGAAAAAGGATGCGAATGAGAAAACGACAAGACCTTTGGTGTCCATAGCATTGATTTGAGATTCGACTTCTTTGGCAGACATCACGCTGAATTTGATTGAATCTTTGAGATTACGAAGCATTTTCACACTGCTCGACCAAAGCGGTAGCTTATTGGACGGCAGCTGGTTACTGAAGGTAATAGCAGCATCAAATACTGCCCAAGATAAGGACAGATCGTTCTCCAGGGACTGGTCACTCCCTTGAGGCAACTTGAGGGGGAGAAATACGTGATTAATGATATATTTCAGACTAGGTTGATCTTTTGACTTGGAAAGATGATTCACTGTTGGATATTGAGACATGTTACCAACGGGATGAGAGAGAGGAATTGGCCACTGACGGTGAAACTTGGCCACTCTAATAAGGAGCCCCTAGGCGCCCATCTCACGCCTCAGTAGGGTTGAATCCGCACAAAGCGAGAACCTGTGTACAATGCATTAAAGAAGTTCTACATCAGATCTGAGGAGTGCCATCGATGTGAGCGTTGAACGTTGAGGCCTTACTAAGGCTAGACTCGTAAACCATTCTGCCTACATGCATTTCTGCAGTAGGCTAGGTAGGCACGCCACTCGAGCATCCGTAGTAGTAAACGCCAGACTACAGTGGTCACGAGCCTGCCTTGAGGTATGAGGCTGTGCATATGTGGGCGTGTACGAAGGTTTGATAAGCAACTTATTTCTTACCTCCCTCGGTTCGAACACAACTAGAGTCTGTATGAGTCATTTGCCTCAACTCGGGTAGCGACTTGGATACTAGTACCCCATCCGGAGTCCATGGCCTTAGCTTCACGAACCGCAGTAGGCATTTCGCCCGAAGAACCACCATCCTTGAAACTCAGGACTCGGATTAATCAGGCACCACACTTGGTTCTAGGCCTTCCACTCTAAGATGAATGCCTCATTGTTGCTGCAAAAATTTTGTGTACGTCCCTCTGCATCGAATCTTGCCTATATAAATACCCTCTTTTCGACCACGAGAAGTTTACGCAACGCGGTGGTGGAGTTGGGATCATGCGAAGTTCCCACTCAACCCAAAGTTCAGAACTTAAACCATGAATCTCGATTTGCAGGTTGGACCCCGGGCGGTCTGCGCACCCGACGCTCTCTCCTTACCTCCTGAAGTACCTCCCTTTCTTGTTCCTCATCCATGCCTCTTAGCGGTGCCGATAGGAATCCGAGTTCTTCCCCACTACATCATCTCCGATGCGCTTGCGGATGCCAGGAACATTAGTGATGCTTTTCAGTTGCTCCTGAGGTCACGCAGCTGTATACCGCTCGGGAGTTCGGACGTGCTTACGCCCAATGGTCTCAATCACGATATCACTTGCTGTGACTTATAGTCGCAGAGCTTTTACATGAGATTTGAGGGTTACCATCGGATGATTGTCAAGGCTGTACATGGGCATTTGTTCGAAGAACAACTTAAACAATGATCACAGGCGTTTGATGCGACCAACGGAAATTGCGAAATCTGCTTATCAAAGTGTATGTCTTCTTCACGATTTGATGCTTACTAGTTTCGAATGTTCTCAGCTCCAACATTCCTCAATCAACCTTCCCTCCCTCTCCATTGCAGCAACATACTCCACAGCCTCGGCATTTGACTTTCCTCCAAACCTCTCTACTGCACCTCGCACAGCTTCACGGACGGCAGTAGGCATTTTGTTCGAAGAACTATCAGAAAGGCTTAGGGTTCATTACGTGTTACATGTAATCTGGACCCACCCTGAAATGATAAGGATGCCTCGTTGCTGCCCCAGCATTGTCCAAATATACTGTGCATCCTCTTTCATCAGATCTTGCACATACGTCCGTTTGACGCCCTCTGGTCCATCACGAGAACACGCAACGCAGTACCGCAGTTTTCGTTCTTCCGCATGAGATTCCCATTCCGCGTGATAATGCTGATCCTTGTGTGCAAAACGGCAACCGAAGTATAAAAGTAGTATCTGGGGTCATCAAGGATCAGCTGATATACAAAGACTGCCAAACATACTAGTGTGTCCCTTGTGTATGCGTTGTTCAATGACGGCACGCATACTAGGTGAGGACACACCACTGGTGTGTTTGGATCCGTAGGAAGTGAAATGAAGCCCTTTCTGAGACCGATACGAAGGGTATCTCCTGGAGATGATATGAGTTCAGGAACTACGCTACAACGCCATGCGGACCTAATTCGAGCCCTGATAGATAACTAGTACAGACGCCTTTCCGATGAATTTTCAACTTTGTGCGATAGCGCACTATAGCAACACAAAGATGGATTTCACGGGGATGGAGCGGATGAAACTCAGAGGTGAATTGTTCTGCAGTGAACGCATTCTAACTCGAACTCACCTCGATGGAACTAGCAATTGAGAACTCTCTCGGTCTCAGCGGAGGGAACAAGTCAAAGACATACTCTCTCCGAGTCGGTATCTTTGCGGACCGAAACTCAGACAACACTTCCTAGGTCGTACGTTTCACGCGTTGACAATAACCATACATTTTGTCCTGCACATCCTCAATAAAAGAAAGAAAAATGAGGAAACCCGACGTACCGCTCCTTCTATCGATACAAATTCATCAAGTTTTTCGCGTTCGAACTCATCGGTAGCAAAATATCGCAGCAGTTGAAAAAAAAGAGCGACGGGGCACAGCATTGAAATCGAGATAGCGTGTAAATAGAATTCGAAGGGAAACAATTTTTGGTAAATGGTCGGGCAACGTTTGATCTGTAAGATATCAGATGGGGTTTACTGCATCCTGTTTTGTCGTCACTAACATTGTGTGTTCTGCTGTGAAAAAATCGTCGGCAACATTCGCTCAGCCCATGGTGACAAGGAAGGAATCGACTTCTGATGCAGCTGCAGATGGATCAGGTCTTGGGTGATGCGAAACAGAAGCAGGCCGCAGTCCGGAGCACATCATGATTAGCCAGGTACAGTCCCATCTTCATCTTGCTACTTTACGACATGAATCAACCTAAGCACCACCACTCATTCGCGTAGGGGAGACATACTAGGGGTCCTGCTAGGAATCGCGCTGGACAGCACACCTCATGGTCCAAATGTCGAGGAAGCTCAGGTGATTCTGTTGCCGACATCGCACCAATACGCTGGCATTCGCGCAGGGTTGAACCTGACATTGCAGACCGTTGTTTCGATACTGAATAGCACAAAATCGTCGGAGATAAACAGCGTTGTGCAAGCGCTCTCCCAAGATGCTTAGGACACTTTGATGAAGTACCTTTACAAGGTTATAGGGATGCCGATAGAAGTTGGCAGCACTTGCTGAGTAATGACTGATCGAAGAACTGTATGAATCAGCATGTCTCCGCAGGTACCTTGCAGGCTTGCAATGCATCAGGCATATCCGTCTTTCAACTACGCGGCAGAATAACCATAAATACCCAAGCATTCTAATATTTGACATAACGCACAACGTCTCAGATCCACTACAATTTTGACTAGAGATTACAAAACTACTCATCATGATGAAGACCAATGTTGACACAATCGCTGTTGACCAGAACTGCAGTCAGTAAGGTCCTTAGTAGAAAGGCGAAAACTCACGCTAAACAGACCCGGTGCTCAGTCCAGAAAATCCCCCTCAGTCAGAATGCGCCCATTGAACATCTTTCCGAGGTGAGTTGGCAGATACCCCATGCCTTTCCTTCTCATTCCGAACAACTTCTTCAGCGGAGGAAGCTGGGATCGCTTGAACGGACACAATGCTCTCGCAGAAGAGCGATTCTCCTCCCTGATGAATCCATCACTGTCGGCTATCAAGTCCTCGTCCTCCAAATCCGGCGCGTTGAGCCCTAAGAAATTGCAAGTGCGGAGATACATCTCGTAACTGGAGAAATACAGTTGACCTGCAAAAAGGTTGAGCTGGCAAATCAGCGGTTCCGCTGGGGTCGGATGTGGCGTCGAAGGAACACGGTACAGTCGAAGATCGTCGCATGCCTTCATCGTGTTTGTGGTCCGAGGAGTATAGACACACAACTGAACTGTGTTGCTATTGCGGATATCAGGGAGCAGTGCGTTCATTTCGTGCGGACTCATGACTACCAGCACTCCGATGTCACTAAGCACGATCCAATTGACGGGCCGCAGGTATTCATCCACTTTCTGTGTGGTAAGGATAGTCCCCACCGTACGAGCGAAGTCACGGGTTACTAAAACGTTGTGCGCCCACTGATCGCCTTCATGAAATTCAGCGGTGGTGTTGACGAGGCTGGATAGCGCTGGAATGAAAGCGGGGGACCCTATGGGAATTCGGCCGGTCTTGACAAATTGATGAACGTGCGCATGCAACTCCTGAGTTGCAGGTTGCACTTTGTGTGGTCTTTGAACTTGACGTTCTCTCTCTACCTCATGGACTACCTCCCTTTCTTGTTCCTCATCCATGCTCCTGTCGGGTCCCGTTAGAACTCCGAGTTCCTCGCACTTGCTTCGAATGTCTGCATCACAGATGTGGGATACCTGCAGAGGACTGCGTGGCGCATACATATCCTCTAATGAACGTTCCTCTGGCTGCAACCAGGCTGTTCTCAGGGTGAAACTTGAAGCGGTAGGAGCGCGCGAGAAATGAGTCCATGCAGAATACCGGGCGCTGAAATCCGATCCCTGTTCAACCCAGTGGAATGTACGCATTTGAATGTCACGACATGTTTCGAGCATCGACCAGTGCAGGATATCTGCAACATCGACATGGTCCGTATCAGTTTTCTGAGTCGCCGAGCGAATGCTTCGGTCAACTTCTGTTGGAGCGAAGAACATCACTGAGTGACCATTTCCCGGCTTCCGCATTCGCATGCATCCTGTGTCGTTGGTTATTGTCAAAATCGATCCGCATGAACTCTGGAATCACGAACCTTGCGTCAGCCGGTCTTTCGTGACTTTCGGACCAAGCGTGACAGCAGCTCGGAAGCCAGAAGGCAGCTTGACATCTGTTCCTCTGGTGTGCGCGTCATCGAGATATATCACACACTGATCGAGCTGTTGGGCAAAGGGGGACGATACAAGGGGCTCTACTGTCCCATCCCGACTAACGACAACAATTTCATCATCGTCATTCACAAAGACTGCAGCTTGGGCGTTATGCTTGGCTCGAAGCCATGTTTCGGCCAATTCCTGATTCTCCAATTCCAGCATCTGTGCACCCACGTCCAAGAGTACGCGGACCTCGGGAGTTTGTGCTATTAAGGTGTCGATGAAATGTTGCACCTTCTGGCCTGACGGTATGGGTCTGTAGCAATTGTTTTCTGGGCGCAAAAGGAACGCCAGGACCCGGGCGTTCGTGCTGCGTTGATAATCAAGGTCATGCTGTACCATCGAGCTTGGTAAAAGATAGCGATTGTCGTTTGTACCAGAAAAGCCGGTGGTGAGATGTCTCTTCTCTTGAGCAAGATCCCACCCGGAGCAGGTGAGCTTGCTGGGAAATGCCTTCGCTTCCTTGGGAAAAACTACTCGGGACAGGTAAAAATCTATGACCGCCTTGTTGAATTTGAACAGTCGTTGAAGTTCAGGGAGCTGCTCTGCGGATTCCATATTGATTCCACTAAGTTGACGCAGACTTTTTGGGACGCACGCAAGCCCAGCAACCCAAGATTCATACTCGAGGGTAGGATTGTCTTGCTTCAGCAGGAGCTCGAAGCACAGCATCAACTGCTGGAGCGTGAGACCCCCATAATAGTATGACAAGCATGTGAGGGTAACAGCAACGTCCGGGTGGCCAAACTCTGCCCGCAGCGAGGGCATATCTTTTGCGCGAAATGGAACAGCTAGCATAGTTCGTTTTGGGGCAAGGCCATAGTCCACGCGCCAGCGACGTTCCTTGAGAGCGTACGCCAAGATACCACATGCCAGCAGTCCACGCAGGACTAGGAGACCTGGCCAGACTGTAGTGTGTCTATAGCGATCCTCCACTACGCTGACACAAGTACTGGATATATTCTCAGTTACGATAAAGCGGCAAACAGCTTCTTTCACGTGGAGAGGTGCTTGATCGAAGCTGATGTTTTCAAGGGCGCCATTGATGATATCCTCTGCGATCCATTGAACCAATGCTTCACCTGCTGTCGGGTGCAGAACGCGAACGAAGGGGAACCCCCCGTGTTCATGAGTGGACACTTCTGATCGAGAGGGAAATTCGTTCATGAGCCGAGCGGCGTGCTTCGCGACAAGACTTAACACTTGTTGCGTTGTCGTCCACCTTTCTGGATGTCCTTGAAGCGACCTTTGGAGGCCCACAGTGTATACCAGTTGGTAGCGGACATGCAGAATTTCATCACTTTCATCCAGGATGTCACGTGTGTGATTGTCGAGCCATAGCTGAGTCCGCAGCATATCTTCAGCAGCTTCAGTCCGAAGGGACAGTTGACGGTCAACAGCCATCAGCTGGAACGACAGAATATGATCCGGTTGCACGACCAAGACCCCTCTGGCGTCTATGCATTCTTGCATTAGGTTACGATACATTTGCACCTTCGACGAGTTGATAGAGAGTGCGCGGGAGAATGGGATATAGAAAATACGCCTTTGCGCGAGACCACTTAGTCGTTCGACCAAGAGCTGGAACATCTGAGCCGACAATGACTTCAGCACGATCACTCGGACCAGTTTGTGGCCATCAGAGAGTGCGGCTGCTGCGAGGGGAACGATAACGTAGGATTTGCCTTCGCCCATGTTCAGTTGGAGGGAAGTATTTCTTCCTGTGCACGGTGACATCATCTCCAGTGCGACCTTGACCTGGACTGGCCGTGCCAAGAACTGACTTTCAATCTGAGAATGCCATTATCAGTTATCATTAATGATCGATTTCTGTATAGCGTACCTGTATCAAAAGCCAGTCAGGGTATAGCTCCGGATCAAATCCATCGCATTCTTCGCTGTCCAACTCCTTGAAGAACTCGACCCAATTTTTGTTGGCAGCAAAGACCAACAGCCTTCGCGAGCGTTGCAGTTGCAAAAGTATCTGCGACAGCTGGACAAGAGTAGCACGCCAAGCCTTCCCAGAAGAACTTCCTGCTGCAGAAGCCATGCGTGTGAAAAGGAAATTTGGTGTAACTCGAGGCCATAATCCGGCATTGTATAACGTGTTCTCAGTAGCAGAGGTAGGGGAGAGGGCGTGTGAGATAGATGCGAGTGAATATTGGAATTGCCGGCTATGGAGAGAATGGTTTTCGAGGAGTAGTTCCATCGTGTATGGCGTAGAATCTGGTGGGGCAACGATCTTTTCGTCACAGTAGATCAACCTACTCCGGTCTAGATCATTGGCGTATTTGTGATGAAACTTGTCACTTCCTCGTGCGCGAAAGTCGTTGATCAGCTGTTGCAACCTCGCTGTGACTTGGGAACTTGGAGATACCAAATCTCTCCAATTGGCATTGGGCAGAACTTGAGATGACCCGCACATGCCTGTCACAGGCGGATCTCTACCGAACAGGTACTGGGCATCAACCGATGAGGCCGGTGATACAACATCCGAGTCATGAAGGCGGGAATGGAGATCATATCGAGAGGGTAGTTTGGAAGGAGGTTTGGGCGTATAAAACTGTTCGAGTGTCCCCTGAAGGCTATCCAGGTGTAGCTTCAGACAACGATTTCGCCAACAGCTGCGAAATACTGGGGAAAGTTTCCCTGGCAGTTCATTGAGATTGTAGTACTCCACTTGCAGCGTATTGAGTGCCGGAGGATTTTCGCATGGACATGCATCCCGAACTTTGCTGAGAATGACTTGCTTTTCAGAGTAACACTTGCCTTCGAAAGCTGAACGACGACGCTTCTCCAGAACCTTTTTACCTTCGCCAGGCATTGCAGGTAGGTGTTTCTCCTGGCTCATTTCGTACTTTTTGGAGCACGAACTGATGATATCGTCCAATCTCTTATCGGATGGCATAAAACCATCCGAGAGATCATAGGAGGTGAGCTTTGGTGGGCCTCCCAGGCTGCGAATTTCGGGAACTGTGGCGAAGGCTAAGAGTGTTGGCACGAGCGCATGATCATCCAACAAGCTGTATGATACCGAAGCCAGGGTGAAAACCAGCCGAGATGTGTCTCTCTTTGTAGCCTTACAACAGTGGTCGTACGCAGAAAGGAAGATGTCAGGAAAAGCCGGTTGAAGCCAGTCTTTGGAGTACTGCAAGGTGAACGGCTCGCCAATGCCCTTGACATTTTTCCACTGAGTCAATAAACGAAGGAGATTCTGTTGCACTGGAAGTTTGCTTGGCCATTGATGTACCATGAA